AGAATAATGAATAGAGGGCTTCCTTGGTGGCTCAGTTGTAAAGAATCCAGCTGCCAATGCAGACGACACGAGTTTGACCCCTGATCCGGGAAGATCCCACATACCGCAGGGCAATTAAGCCCGCAACTACTGAAGTAGTGCCACAACTACTGAAGCCCAGGAACTCTAGAGCCCGTGCTTGCCGCAACTAGAGAAAAGCCTGCATAGCAGCCAGCACAGCCAAAAAAAGAATAATGAATATATTGGGCAACTTTAAAAGCTTTCATAATGGAAATGAGATATCAAAATGCCACCACCCTGACAAATCACATCTCCAGGCATTCCTGGAGAAGTACGCCCTCCTGAACAGGCTGTGAGGTGGGGAACGGAGGGAGGAACTTGTCCCCTGTATGTACCCCCAAACCCGAGTGGCGCCTCCTTACCCCTCCAGAGCCAAGCAGGTCTGTGGTCTCAGCAAGCCCACGCAGCCTGGCTGCCAAGCCTCTGATGTCTGAGCCTCTGAACCATCCCTCATCTTGGCAGACAAGGGACAATCAAGATCAAGTGCTCCTTTCGGAAACTACTTATGGAACTCATTACACGCCTCTCTGCCTAACCAGGCACACCCAGGCTGGTTCACCCTGCTGCTCTGCCCAGAAGGTCTTTTCCCACCCTAGTTTCAGCACGCCTCCAAGCCGCAGCTGTCTGTGAAAGCCCAACTCAAATGACACTTCCTCCACGAAGCCCTCCATGACTTCACCCCTACCCACTTTCCACAAATTCCTCGGGAGTGGATCCCACCCCTCTTTAAATATTTAACAGATCTTAGTTTTCTTCTCTCCTTCCAGGAGGCTCTGCACAGAATAATTTTAAAGCAGATTTTATATTTTTATTGGAGTGTAGCTGTTTTCCAATGCTGTGTTAAGTTTCTGCTGTGTAGCTAGATGAATCAGTTATACATATACACAGATCCCCTCTTTGTGGGTTTCCTTCCCATTGAGGTCACCACGGGACACTGAGGAGGGTTCCCTGTGCTGCGCAGTAGGTTCTCATTTTATGCATAGAAGTGTATACGCTTTGCATTGTACACAGTGAATCCCAATCTCCCAATTGTCCCACCTCCTTCCCCCGGGTAAGTGTGTTCTCTATATCTGTGACTTCCTGCTCTGGATTTTTTGTTTTTTGACTGAGCCTCATGGCTTGCGGCGGAGAAGGCAATGGCACCCCGCTCCAGGACTCTTGCCTGGAAAATCCCATGGACAGAGGAGCCTGGTAGGCTGCAGTCCATGAGGTCGCTAAGAGTCGGACACGACTGAGCGACTTCACTTTCACTTTTCACTTTCATGCATTGGAGAAGGAAATGGCAACGCACTCCAGTGTTCTTGCCTGGAGAGTCCCAGGGACAGGGGAGCCTGGTGGGCTGCCGTCTGTGGGGTTGCACAGAGTCGGACACAACTGAAGCGACTTAGCAGCAGCAGCAGCAGGGCTTGTGGGGTCTTAGTTTGCCAATCAGGGGTTGAATCAGAGGTACAGCATTGAAAGCACCAAGTCAGCGCCTGGACCACCAGGGAATTCCCCCTAAGTTAGACATGTTTAACCCAGGGTTTTGAGAAGGTGGGAATCCTCTTTATTTTCAATGTCCTGTAATGGTAATCTAGCATTTCTTTCTATTACAAATGGAGAAAACACAGCACAGTGATATTAGCCATAGCTATGACTTGTCACCAATGAAAATGACAGATTTTTCACAGCATGTTACAGAAGTGACAGAGAACTTGAAATATGCTTACATTCGTCACTGTCTCAAAAACGTAGTAATTCTTAGGCTTCCATCAGATCTTGTTATTTGTTCTTGTGTTAAAGAAACACACATATAACTTTATCACAAATTTGTTTTCTTTATATTTTGTAACTGTATTTCAATGTAATTGATTGCCATGGAACCCTGCATATTTTATTTTGTGCATTTAAAAGCATTACTCTGGGGACTTCCCTAGTGGTCCAGTGGTTAAGACTCCACACTTTCCCTGCAGGGGGCATGGGTTCGATCCCTGGTCAGGAACTATGATCCCACAGGCAGCACAGCATGGCCAAAACATAGAAGAATAAATGTATAAAAATAAAAACATTACTCTGGAAAGACGTCTGAGACTACACTAGGCTTTGAGAAGGGCCCTGGAGGAATCAGAAAGGCTAATCCCCACCTCTATGTGGATCAACCCTCTCCATCTGTGTATTCCTTCCACTNCTCTATGTGGATCAACCCTCTCCATCTGTGTATTCCTTCCACTCTGGCCTCTCATCGCAGGAGGTCTGCAGGCCTGGGTGTAGGAAGCATTGCCTCAGCTATTTTATTTGTTTTTAATGAATTTTTCAAACATAATTTTATTTATGTATTTTTGGCTGTGCTGTGTCTTCATTGCTGCTCGGGCTTCTCTCTAGTTGCGGCGAGCAGGGGCTACTCTCTAGCGGCCGTGCACAGGATTCTCTCATTGCAGAGCACAGGCTCCAGGGGGCTCGGGCTTCAGTAGTTGTGGCACGTGGGCTCAGTTATCGCGGCTCCTGAGATCTGGAGCACAGGCTCAATGGCTGTGGTGCGGGAGCTTGGTTGCTCTGTGGTATGTGGGATCTTCCTGGATCAGGGATCTAACCCATGTCTCCTATGCTGGCAGAGGAGACTGAGCCACAAGGGGAACCTGTTTTATGAACTTTTAAAATAGTTACAAGTTTACAGAAAAGTTGCAAAGATCACTCAGAATTCCCCTATTCCTCCCTCCCAATTTGTCCTTTTGCTCACATCATGACCATGGTACATTTGTCACATTGAAAGAGTCAATATTGATACATTCTTATTAACTATATTCCATCACTTATTTGAATTTCCTGTTTCCCCCTAACATCCTTTTTCTCTCTCAGGAACAGTCCAGAATACACAGGACATTTAGTTATCATGTCTCAATGGACTTCTCTTGGCCGTGATGATTTTTCAGACTTTCCCTGCTTCTGTTTGATGGCCTTGAGAGTTTCAAGGGGTTCTGGTCAGGTGCTGTGTAGACTGTGTCTCCATTGGGATTTGTCTAAAGTTTTAATCATAATTAGAGTGGGGCTGTGGGTAGGAAGACCACATCATATCCACGGTACTTACTGCCCGACATGACTTATCACTGTTGGTGTTGACCTTGATCACCTGGCTGGGCTCGTTTTCATCACTACACACTGTCAACTTACTCTTCCGTTCCCTTTGGAAGAAAGTCACTCTGCACCCTCCACACGTACAGAGTGGGAAGCCATTCTCCATCTTGGAGAATGTGCCAAAACTGTTTAGAATTCCTCTGAGTGGGAAATTTGTCTATTTTCCCTCATTTATTTATTTATCCAGAGATTTATTTATAACAGCATGAACTCACGGAAGTTTATTTTATACTTAGGGTTACAACCCAGTGCCCCTTTAGTTATTTTGTTGCCATTCTAGTTTTTTTTTTTAATTTAACATTATGGAGGTATGGTTTACATATACTAAAATGCACCATTTTAAGTGCATAGTTAGACTAGTCTCGCCAAACACGTCCACTTGGGGAACCCACAGCCCGAGGCCCTGGCACATCACGTGAGTGTCCATGGGCTGGATCTGAATTCCTAGGACAGTGGACTTTGAGGACGACATCAACTTCCCATTTTAAGTTTAGAGAAGCCCAAGTTCCCCACCCGAGGTAAATAGAGTCACTAAGAGGCAAAAACATATGCCCATCAGCAGTTATTTTTCCCTGCAGCTCAGCAACTTTGTCTTTTTTCTTTTTACATTGATTTGGCTGAGCCAGGTCTTGGCTGTGGCACGCAGCATCTTTGATCTTCCTTGTGGGCATGTGGAATATTTAGTTGCTTAGTTGCAGCATGTGAGATCTAATTCCCTGACCAGGGATGGAACCCGGTTCCCCAGCATTGAGAGCGCAGGGAGTCTTAGCTACTGGACCACCAGGAAGTCTCAGCAGCTTGGCTAAAGGTGCTGCGGAGGGGTCTGGAGCGCAAAGGTGCCTGCCTGACACCGTGCGGTCGCCCAGCCCCTCTGGAGGCCCTGGCTGGCCGTGGGGTGGACCCCCATCGACGGTCATGGAGGGGTGAATTCCTCCCCTGCTTTCAGTGGGGCCCCTCCAGTCGCCTTCTCTGCCCTCCCTCTCACTGCTCTTTCCTCCAGGAGCCCCTAGGGGTCAGACTGGGGCCCAGAGCCCACCCCACGCTGTCCGGGCCGGGGCCGGGTACAGGCCGGCCTTTTTCGCTGGGGGGCGGTCCGAGCCGCGGGCGGGCGGGGGCCGGACCCTTGGCCTCTGTCCCAGGGGGCGGCGCCGCGTCGCGAACGGTCCGGGTCCCTCCCAGGCGCGAGCGGCGCAGGCGGTGCGCCGCGGCCGCGGAGCCATGGACGGGAGTGGGCCCTTCAGCTGCCCCATCTGCCTGGAGCCGCTCCGGGAGCCGGTGACACTGCCCNTGTGCCCGCGCCACCTGCGGCCGCTCGAGCGCTACTGCCGCGCCGAGCGCGTGTGCCTGTGCGAGGCCTGCGCCGCCCAGGAGTACTGCCGCGCCGAGCGCGTGTGCCTGTGCGAGGCCTGCGCCGCCCAGGAGCACCGGGGCCACGAGCTCGTGCCGCTGGAGCAGGAGCGCGCGCTCCAGGAGGTAGGGCGCGGGCGCGCCGGGCGGGCTGGGGCGGGTGATGGGCCTCGCTTGCCGGCCGAGGACCCCTCATTGCTTTGCCATCCTTAATTCCCCTCTAACCTGAGGATCTCTGCGGTGCTTTCCAGCCCTGACGGTCATCCGCTCGCTGTGGGACATTCCTCTCGGGATTAGGATGGGGGTTGGAGGGACCCAGTGAGAACTCGAAAAGGGTGCAAAAATCGGGCTGGGAGACTGAGGCTGGGGTGGAGCCCATGGTGGGGGGAGGGGTTAAAGGAGCCAGGTGGGGTCCGCAGAGTCCCCGGCGGCCGCCGGTGCCTCGGCCGGGCTCCCGCCGGTCCCGCTCAGATCTGCCTGGGCTGAGGGTCTGGATGGGTGTGGCAGACGACAGACGTGCCGCAGAGGGTGGACCGAGCACACAGACCGCTCTGTCCGGCTCTTCCGGGGGCTGGTGGTGGGCGCATGAGCTGGCTGTCCGGCCCTGTTACCTCCGCCCCCAGTTTCCTTTGGCCCCCGGCCTGGTCTTGGCGCCTCAGGCCTTGGGATTTTCCGTCTCTCCTGCCTGAAGTGGTGACTCATAAGGCCCAGGGGATTTGCCCGGAATCCCCATTTTTCAGGCTTGGATTGGGGACACAGACTCTTGGGGGACAGTGATTCCCAGACAGTTTGAATGGCGGCTTGCGCATCCCTCCTCACTTTCTGTTTCTTTCCCATGGAGGGAAGTTCTCAAATCATAGTGAGCAACATGGAGGACCTGGAGGGCCCTGGACTTGCTCACCAGTTAAAAGAGGGGAGGCAGGCAGCCCACAGCCCACCAGCCTGCCCTCTCCCAGGCATTCAGAAAGGGCAGGCATTCAGAAAGGGCAGCAGTCCACCTGGACCCAGATACCACTCCTGGTCACCCCCACCTCCCCCTTGGTGAGGCCCGGGACCCTACTTCCAGACCCCTTTCTCCTCGAGGGTGTCGTCCACAGGCCGAGCAGCCCAAAGTCCTGAGTGCCGTGGAGGACCGCATGGATGAGCTGGGCGCAGGCATCGCTCAGTCCCGGCGCACGGTGGCCCTCATCAAGGTCAGATCCCATCCGCCCCCGCCCCCGTCCACCCCTACCGCAGGCTGCCTGTGCTGTGAGCTTTCAGCATGGCACCATCTACCCCAGAGGAGCACGTGCCCAGGGCATGGCCCGGCTCCACTGAGCACGCCTGCCTCCCCCCTAACCTGGCGCAGACCCAGGGCAGGTCAGGCTGGTGCCTCTGTCCACCTCCGCCCTCAATAAGACAGGGTGGGAAGGGGGGGGTCTGAGAAGGTGGCCAAAACGTCGTCGGGGTGTTCTCTGCCCTCACTCTCCACCGTACTGTGCAGAGCGCAGCCGTGGCAGAGCGGGAGAGGGTGAGCCGGCTGTTTGCCGAGGCTGCGGCCGCCCTGCAGGAGTTTCAGACGGAGGTGCTGGGCTTCATCGACGAGGGGGAGGCGGCCATGCTGGGCCGCTCCCAGGGCGACCTGCGGCGGCAGGAGGAGCAGCGGAGCCGACTCAGCAGGGCCCGCCACAACCTGAGTCAGGTCCCCGAAGCCGACTCGGTCAGCTTCCTGCAGGTGAGGGCAGCTCCGCGGGCGCGGCGGGCACCGAAGCGGGGAGGCAGCGGGAGGAGGAGGCCGCCGGGGGTGGGGGGCTGCCTTCAGGGCTGTGCTGGCCTTCTAGCGGAGCTGTCTGTCTCCTGCCCGGAGGAGCTGCTGCGGCCCCGCTCGACCTTAAGGGCGTCTGTCTGACATAGGAGCTCCTGGCACTCAGGCTGGCCCTGGAGGAAGGGTGCGGCCCCGGGCCCGGACCCCCGAGGGAGCTCAGCTTCACCAAGTCCTCCCAGGCTGTGCGCGCCGTGCGGGCCGTCCTGGCTGCGGCCTGTTCCAGCCAGTGGGAGCAGCTGCGGGGGCTGGGCGGTGATGAAGACGGGCTGCAGAAGCCGGGCACGGAAGGTGGGCGCCCCCCGCAAGTGACTCACCCTTCCCCAGGCTCCCCGCACAGGGCCCCAGGCCCAGTGCCCGCTCAGGAGTAGAGGATGGAAACTGTGCCTAGCGCAGGGTGGGACCCCAAATCCTGCCAGGGACTCGAGCCACCACCCTGTAATCACGAGTCAGCTCCTTTGGCCACAGCCCAGGGGGCAGAGAAGGCCTGGCCTGGCACGCCCTCTATTCAGAGGGGCTAAAGCCCAGGGACGACCTGGAGCGGGGTGGGGGTGGGGAGGGGGCATAGAACAAGGACCAGGCACTCGTGTGAACACAGGGTACTGTATTTGGGCATGTGCCTGTCCCCAGGTGGCCTGGGGTGCTGGGAGGATGGAGGAGGAGGAGGATTTCAATCACAGGGTCAGAGGGGGGTTGCCTTGCGCAGCCCAGCCACAGGCAGCTAGGGAGACCCCCTTCCAATGTCTCCTTTTCTGTAGCAGACGCTGAGTCCCAGGACCCCGACAGCACCAACAACCTAGAGAGTGAGGCTCCCAGGGATTACTTCCTCAAGTGTAAGTTGACACCTGGGTTCGCCAGGATGCTCACCTGGGTTCTCCCAAGGCTGCTGGGCTGGGCCCTAAGTGCCCAAGGGCCGGGATTCCTGTCCCTGGTTCAGGGGGTGAACTAGGTCAGCTCACAGGGGGCTCCCGGCAGTGGCTGAATTGTGCCGGTTGCAAATGACGGGAGAGGTGTTTGGGGGAGGTGGGCCCCTCGGGGAAAGGCAGGCCCCTCAGGGAAAGGCTGCCCCATCTGACCCTGGATCTGAGCCCCGCGTTTCTCTCTGGTCCGTGGGGGCAGTTGCCTACATCGTGGACTTGGACAGTGACACAGCCGACAAGTTCCTGCAGCTGTTTGGAACCAAGGGCGTGAAGAGGGTGCTGTGTCCTATTAACTACCCCGAGTCGCCCACCCGCTTCACCCACTGCGAGCAGGTGCTGGGTGAAGGCGCCCTGGACAGGGGCACCTACTACTGGGAGGTGGAGATCATCGAGGGCTGGGTCAGTGTGGGGGTCATGGCCGAAGACTTCTCCCCACAAGAGCCCTACGACCGGGGCCGGCTGGGCCGCAACGCCTACTCCTGCTGCCTGCAGTGGAACGGTCGCAGCTTCTCCATCTGGTTCCACGGGCAGGAGGCACCCCTGCCGCACCCCTTCTCGCCCACCGTGGGGGTCTGCCTAGAATACGCCGACCGAGCCCTGGCCTTCTACGCCGTACGGGATGGCAAGATGAGCCTCCTACGGAGGCTGAGGGCCTCCCGGGCACGCCGGAGTGGCATGCCGGCCTCCCCCGTTGACCCCTTCCAGAGCCGCCTGGACAGCCACTTTGCAGGGCTCTTCACGCGCAGGCTCAAGCCTGCCTTCTTCCTGGAGAGTGTAGACGCCCATCTGCAGATCGGGCCCCTCAAGAAGTCCTGCATATCCGTGCTGAAGAGGAGGTGATGTGGGGGCCCAGGGCCTCCTCCCACCACTGACCCAGCTCCCAGGAAGCTTGCTTCTCTGCACTCCTGGTTTGAACCAGAGAAGGCACCAGCCTCGGACCCCCACACATTCCCCAGCCTTCTCATTCCTAGAGGCCTCCACCTTCTGTACCCAAGGCCTTCCACCACTCAGGGAGGAGGCCCCCCAGACCCTGTCCCCCTGCAGGCCTTGTTTCTGGGAGAATGCAGCTTGAACATTTCCAGGCTACCCTGATCCCCCCTCTCCCAGGTTCCTGGGACAGGGCCTGGCACATAGTAGGTGCGCAATAAACGTTTGGTGTATGAACGACTCCCTTTTCTACCCTTCTCTCGTTCGTGCTTAGTTGTGTCCCACCCTTTGTGACCTCATGGACTGTAGCCCTCCAGGCTCCTCTGTCCATGAGATTTTCCAGGCAAGCATACTGGAGCGGGCTACCATTTTCTCCTCCAGGGGATCTTCCCGACCCAGGGATCGAACTTGAGTCTCCTATATTGGCAGGCGGATTCTTTACCACTGAGCCACCTGGGAAGCACCCTTCTCAGCACCCACCAAGAATTCCCAGTGCTTCTCATCTTTCCTGAGCTGGTCTTGAAAGGCAGGAGAAGGGAGCAAGGCCCTGGTCCCAGGATTCCTACTGGGCGGGAGAGCCCTGGCCCAGGAAAAGGAGGCTGAAATGGGGTGCCTACCCTTTGCACACCCCCTACTCCCAGGTTCTGAACAAGGAGAGCCAGAGGTGGCTTCCCATTTCTCCTCCAGGGGATCTTCCCGACCCAGGGATCGAACTTGAGTCTCCTGTATTGGCAGGCGGATTCTTTACCACTGAGCCACCTGGGAAGCACCCTTCTCAGCATCCACCAAGAATTCCCAGTACTTCTCATCTTTCCTGAGCTGGTCTTGAAAGGCAGGAGAAGGGAGCAAGGCCCTGGTCCCAGGATTCCTACTGGGCGGGAGAGACCTGGCCCAGGAAAAGGAGGCTGAAATGGGGTGCCTACCCTTTGCACACCCCCTACTCCCAGGTTCTGAACAAGGAGAGCCAGAGGTGGCTTCCCGGAGGGGTCCAGCCCCACAGTCATTCTGGCTGCCCGCGTGTTTGCTTTGGATGGTCTGGTGCCCACCAGCTATTTTCATCCTTGTTGCTATAGCCTAGTTCTGGAACCTGCCGAAGGGTGTCTGCCCAAGATTCAGTGCAGACCTCACACCCCGCAAAAGCAGGGCAGGACTCCTGGGCGTGGGCAACAAAGTCGGAGACCTAGAGCTGTTTTCATATGCACACCTTCTCAGCTCATGAGGGCTGCAGCCGAACCAACCCCAGGGTGTGGCTGGAGCTGGGAATGTCTTCCCTAAAAGGACCTGTCTCTTCCTTCGAAGGCTGCCTCACATCTCTGCACCAGCTGGGCGGCTGGAACGGGGCTCAGCCTCCACGCTGGGGAGACCCCGGGCTCTGTGCCCCAGGAGAGCCTCTGCCTCTCTCTCAGGAAGGTCCAGGGACCCGTGCGGCCCTAGGACCACTCCCCACCCAACCTCATCACAGCTTGGGACACCTGCGTGCTGATTTCAAGGCAGAGAACTTGCTTCCTGAGGCTACAAGCTGTGTTCCCAGGCCAACCTCCGCCGCCCGGGGGGTTCTCGGTGACTCAGGTGCACCCCAGGGAGGGCCGAGCCTGGAGAGCAGGGGCAGACAGAGGCCTCTGAGCCCCGGGCCTAAGGTCAGGCAGGACAATGGCTGAGTTATACAGCCAGACAGCAAGGCCATACAAGTCCTGCCCCGGCTGCCTCGCCAGCTAAAAATAGCCCCTCCCACAGAGCCTGCTGGTGCCCCACAGCCAGGATGTTGTTTTTCCGGGCGGGGCCTGCTGGCTCCTGGGGCTCTGTGTTCTCGGCACTGTTTCCTTGACAGCCAAGGGCCCCAGCTCACCGGGGCCCAGGGGCGGATAGGGGAGGCTGCGCCTCCACGTTGCTGTGGCAACGTGGACCAATGGGGAGTCCCCTGACCTCCGGAACCCTCCCACCTTTCACAGAGCCCCGCCCACCTCTGCCTGGCACGCCATCCCACTCCTCTTGCGAGACCGCTCAGGCCCCTGATTCTGCAGGGTCCCGGCATGCCGCGGAAAGTGAGTTAGATGGACGAGGCCCCTGCACAGGACTGGTGCTTCCTTCCTGCAATTCAGACCTGACTAGTCAAGTCTGCAGCCACAGTGTCCCTGCCACTTGCAGAGCGACTTTGTTGTTGTTCAGTCTTTAAGCAGTGTCCGAGTCTTTGCGACCACATGGACTGTAGCCCACCAGGCTCCTCTGTCCCTAGGATTTCCCAGGCAAGAATACTGGAGTGGGTTACCATTTCCTCCTCCAGGGGATCTTCCCGACCTAGGGATCGAACCTGCGTCTCCTGCCTTAACAGGCAGATTCTATTACCACTGAGCCACCTGGAAAGTCACCAGAGTGGCTGCCAGATTTCAGAGACTCACAGAACCTTGTACACCTTAATCTCAGATCCCAGTGTTAACATTTACAGCTCAGAGCAGGGGACCAGCTCACCCAGGGCTGCACAGCTCACAAGAAATTGGCTGAGGCTGACCCCAAGTTTCATTGTCATCCCCGGTCTAGAGTATCAGCTGCAACCCTGCACTTCCTCTCTGATTGTAGGATCATACTAGAGCTGGAGAGATGGGGTATCTGTGAGCGTCTGTGTGTTTCTGGGTGTATCTCTTTGTCTATGTGTGTTTAGGGGTCTGTGTGCCCCTGTGTGTGTCTGTGCTTGTGCTTCTGCATTAGTGTATAGGTCTGCATGTCTGCCTGGGTGTAGCTGTGTGTGTGGATCCAGCCCACTGACTTTTCCAACATGCTCTGAGGACATCTGGAGTTCTGAGGAGGGACACTGAGGCAGGGCAGGCTGGTGGGGTGGGAAGGGATACCAGGAGGCCAGTCCCTCACTGCCCCTGCCAACGCTTTATAATCAGAACAGATTTTGTGCAAGATGACTTGCAAAAGAGAAGCTGTTAAAAAGACAAAGGTTAGAAAATCATCGATCTAGTTCAAACCTTTGTTTACCACCAGCAGTTGCAGAAGAAGAAACTGAGGGATGTCCTTAGAAATGTCTACACACACACACACACACACACACACACACACACAGAGGCTGCTTCCCAGTGCTGTCGCCTGTGGAAGAGCTGCTCCTGTCCAGACCCCAGTTTCCACGGCCACCAGAGTCCTTTCTTCCAGAGCGGCCTGAGGCTCTATAGTTTCCAAAGCTCCCATGGGAGCCGGGCCAATAACAGACATTGGCAGCGTGTGAAGAGTGTGAAGGGTCGTTGGAGGCTGCGTTACTATTAGCCGAGTCTGGCTCCTTTGGGCCAGGCGGGGAGCCAACTGCCACTTGAGCTTTGTTCTGTGGGAAAATGAGCCCTGAAATTCCAAACAACAGGCTGATCAATGGGCTCAAGCATCTCTCCCCTCTTGGCAGCTGCAGACTGCTAGGTCCTGCACCCCTCCCTGCTCCCACCATCCCCCCACCCCTGATTCCAGGAGGAAAGGGGTAGACACATCCTCCTCCCTCCATCTCCTCCCCTCTCCTCCTGCTCCTCCTCCTCCAGCCCACTCAAGAAACTCACAGAAGTGCCTTTCTTCACTTCCCAGGCACAGGGTGAGGCTGGACTGAGACTGTGGCTAAAAATGAGGGCCTGGCCAGGAAGATGGGGCTGAACTGGGAGGGGCAGAGGTTTGCAGTTGTCTCTGCTGTTGCTGGGTTTTCTCCCCTGGGAAGAAGACAGCGTTTAGCTGCAGGGTCTGTGTCCCATTCAGCCCCATACCTGTCCCCCAAATCTGGGCTCCCTGTCCACCGATGCCAAATAGGAACACGGAGACAGAATTTGGAGGAAATAGAAAGATGGCTTAGAGGCTTCCCTGGTGGCTCAGTGGTAAAGAAGCCACCTGCAAAGCAGGAGAAGTAGGGTTGATCCCTGATCCAGGAATATCCCACATGCTGTGGAGCAACTAAGCCCAAGCACCGCCACTATTGAGACTGTGCTCTAGACCCCAGGGCCTGCAACTACTGAGCCCATGTGCAGCTTCTGAAGCCTGCATGCCCTAGAGCTCCTGCTGCTCAACAAGACAAGCCATGGCAACGAGAAGCCCGTGCACCGCAACTAGAGAGGAGTCCCTGCTGTCTGCAACTCGAGAAAAGCCCACACAGCAACAGCCAATAAATAACTTAATTAACAATAACAAAAATAAAAGGAAGATGGCTCAATTCCTCTGCCATGCGTGGGGCAAAGATACAGCAGGCTAGCACCTCAAGGACTGTGCCCCGCTCCTAGGGGAACTGAGAGACATTATATAGCCCGGGTTTCCTGGTTTTAGGGTAAAATCAAAGTAATGAAGGTCTTGTGTTTTTCTTCTTCTTGCGTTATTTCAAAACAGTCCGGTAACTGGGTTTATTTGCCTCTCGGTTATCTGCCTTTGACCTTCTTTCTGAAATGCAAATAGCGATAAGGGGTGATTTGCTTCCACAGAGTGAGGAGAGAGGAAGCACCAGGTGCAGGATGTAATAAACATAGTATCAGGGGGCGATAGGTTAGCTTTGTGAAAGACAAATCTAACAGACACTACAGATTACTGACAGGAAAATAAGACTAGGAGTGATTAAGTCTTTCAGCCCCATATAAGTTTCTTCTCTAGCCTGTTCAACGTTCTCTTTACTTTCCTTGTTCTCAGGAGAGGAAACAATTTATTTCCATTTTTGCTGCAACACACTCAACATTTGATGCCAATGTTCGAAATCTAGAATATGAAGTCACTCCTTTTCTGTAACATCATATCTTCTGGGAGATGCCTAAGAACTGCAGGAGGTCCTGAGTGGTCCTCACAGGCCCCACCTGGGTGCAAGCCTCAATCTGCTTCCCAGCATCCTCAGTGAATTGGCCGGGGAGGCGCTCACAGCCTGAACACGGAGACAGGTAGGAGGTAATCTTTGAAGTCCTGGGTACTTTGTCTGTAAATGACACTCAGTTTTTAATTTTACTCTGTAATATCTCTGATCTGGCTATAACGTAAAGAGTAGCACTTCTCTGCTCCAGCAATGGAGAAGAATGGTTTTGTGTGTGAGTTCTGGAATCACAAAGTCTGGGCTAAAAATTCCACTTTGGCTATTTCCTAGCCATATGTCTTTGGGCAGGGTACTTAGCCCCCTCTGTGCCTCGATTTCCTCACTAGTAAAATCGGGATAATAATAAAAGCGCAAGGACTTCCCTGTCGGTCCAGTGATTAAGACTCCTCAAGGGGGCATGGGTTTGACCCTTGGTCAGGAAATTAGGA